GGCCAGATTTCATTGTTTCTCATTGCCATATAGTATTCCATGGTATAGATAAACCACATCTTCTTGATCCATTCGTCTGTTGATGATAATTTGCCCTTTGAAACAGCTTCCATTTTAAAATGGAATGTTTTGGTTCCTTGACGTTAGTGGGGGAGATTCTTTTACTCCTTTGGTTGTTCAGTAGATGTTAAGTCAAGTAGGGAAGCCCCAGGAGGCATATTTGTGAAGGGAGCAGAGCAGATGGTGAGTAACTCCCTCCTGACTGGCACTTCCTTTTTTATGATGCACTTTGAAATGCCACCTGTTCCTGATATATCTTTTCTCTCCCGGATGGGGGTAGGTTGGGGGAGAGGTTGGGGCCCTCCTCAGCAATTTCTTTGACTGTCACAGACATTCTTAAGTGGAAGTGAGTCGCAAGTGTTAAAACAACCAACTGGTGATAACAGCCTCACCCAGGCACAAAGCAGAGTATAAATGGGTCAAAGGTGAGAGGCAGATGGTGGGATGTTGCAACAAGCCTATTAGAAGCAACAGTAGTGGGGCATTTGGGTGGCTTAGTTGGATGAGTGTCCAACTGTTGATCCCAGGATTGTGGAATCGAGCCCTGCGTTGGGCTCTGCCCTGAGGATGGAGCCTGCTTAAGTTTCTCTCTCTCTGCCCCTCTCCCCTACTTGCGCTCTCTCTCTCTAGAAAAAAAAAAAAAAAAAGCAACAGTAATGCCATTTATACTGCTGTAAGGTCAGAACTTCTCAACCCATAATTCTTTCCCTACAGTTCTTTTGAGGCTGGAACCCCCATGCCCTTTCTAACCTTTTCATTGGTTCATTCTTATTTCTTTATCACCATGTAACTCAATGTTTAGTGGGCAATGATTTTTACCCCCACATTCAGATGTGGAAGCCACTGCTCAGACAGGGCAAACTGATCTGCCAAGATTATTGGCAAATTGATAATAGAGTACAGGTAATAGAGTGAGGTCTGGGTGTCCATAGGCCTGAAGAAACGCTTGTGATGCTATCAGAGGCTGTCTGGGCTGCTTGACCTAAGCTCCAGGAGGCCTGTCTGTGCCACAGTGTCAAAGCCCAGGCATCTGACCTGTAAGTCAGGCCACGGGTAGCACACAGAGTCCCCACAGGCACTGGGAAAGCCCCATGGCCAGATGTTCCCTGAGGGTTCTCTTTTCTGCTTTCTCTGCTCTGGTGAGCATGTAGGCCTGTGGCTCTCCAGCCAGGCTCTCCCTTGCTTTCTAGGTTTAGTCCTTGCCCTGAGACTGACACTTTCTGGGGACACAGTGTCCTGGGGAGGTGGTGGCTCACAGGTGCAGAAACAGGTGGCCTGGGAATTAACTGGTCTCTGAGGCATGGATGCTTGTTAAAATAGACCAGACTTTTTGGACCAAAGGCAGTGGCCCCATAAGCAAGGCATTATAAGGCTGAAGGACAGTTTGGGTGATGGCTGAGAAAACATTGTCCATTTCCCCAATTATTCCTGTCAATGAAGATCATAAATACTTCTAAGGCAAAACAGAAACTGGTGGTGGTAGATACTAAATGAGCTGGGAAGACTGGACTAGAGGGGCTGGTGTGCAGAGGTGATCAGGTGACCAATGGGTCCCAGGAGACAAGTAGGGGAATGGAGTGGCTTCAGGATTCCCTTTGGGCATAGAAGAGGGAGCTGTGGTTGCCTCCTCCTCCAACCCCAGTAGGCAGAAGGTATCAAAGGGCAGGGGAATATAAGCTAGGAGGTCTGGGCTAAGAGCAACCTTCCAGAGGAGTCTGGGGGAGTTTGGGTGTTTCCTTCTTTCCTGGAAAAAGAAAAAAATCCTTTAAAATACTAAACCTATGGGGGCACCTGGGTGGCTCAGTTACACATCCAACGCATCCAACTCTTGATCTCAGCTCGGGTCTTGATCCCAGGGCTGTGAGTTTATTCAAGAGTACATGAAATCCACCGTTTTGTTGGACATAGTAGTTGGTGCCCTGCCTATGTTCATTTTCACCAGACCCACTGCTATCGGGCTAACCATGTGCCCCACCTGTATTACTGTGCATCCATAGTTGTAAAATCATTGTGTTCATGTCTGCCTGTGGTTGGTGGTGTGGCATTCTGTGCAAGATTTGACTGCCTGCTGGATAGTGACTTCTGGGTCTGGCTTGGAGCTGAGCACCTCTCAGCATTCTGGGGCCTCCTCTACCACAGTCTCTTTATTTCTCTTGCTTTTGAGGGGCTCTGTTTTTGGCCTTTTCACCTACTATCACTTACTGTTGGCAGCTGTTTCCTGGTTACTGGCTGCCTGTAGGTCTGGTTGCCACAGTAACCTCCAATGGTGCAGCTGGACAAGCTTGAGTAAAGACAGCCCTAGGAGGGTAAGGGTAGAAGATGTGGGATTCAGGGCCCCTAGTAGTCTTTCTTGTTCTAGGGTACTCTTCTTTGGCCAGCTCAACTAGGCATTCATGAAAGGCTCTTGGGACTCCACTTACTATAGAAGGGCTTCCTGGAAAGTGCAGAGATGGATCCCTGCTCTTGGGCCAGGTATTAGGGGAGGGGAGCCAAATAGGGCCTTGAGGCTGGCTCGCTGTCCTTCCTTACTCTCAGGCTGGTCTAGAACAGCTATGGGGTACCTGCTTTCTGTGGCTCTCATTCCTTCCAGCTCCAAAGATGCCCTTTGAATGTCCTGTTTGCTGGCTAGATGGGCAAGCTGTGGAGCATCTGAGAGCAAACTGGCCTGCTCCTGGCAGAGGCTGATGGAGGTTCCTTGGTGTAACTGGGAGAACCTGTCCACACCCAGCTCTGTCATTAGTTCTGGAGTAGCCTTCCTCTATCTTATTTTGTAATTGAGGTCAGAGTCCTAACTGTACAGGCACCTGTCCCCCTTTAAAACATATAAAACATAAAGAATGAGCAAACTAGGGAGTGGAGTTGTGAATTTGCTTTCCAAAGGGTTGGTTGTAGGCCTGTTTGAAGCAGGCAGATCCCAGATGTGGTGGAGTAGGAGTCACAACCAGGTTTTCTGGGTATGTGCTGACTCTTGGAAAACTTGGAAGGGTGAGGGGTCGGTCTACTCAAGAGCAGAGAAGAGTTGGGGAACCCTGTTCCTTTAGCCTCTTTCTGCCTATCTGTACTGCCTAGTGCACTATTCAGAAACACAGCTTTGAAAAAAGTATCCTAGTTTTTTTTTTTTTTTTAATGTTTTATTTATTTCTGAGAGAGCGAGAGAGACAGCGTGAACAGGGGAGGGTCAGAGAGAGAGGAAGTCACAGACTCTGAAACAGGTTCCAGGCTCTGAGCTGGCAGTCAGCACAGAGCCCGACGCGGGGCTCGAAGCCACGAACCGCGAGATCATGACCTAAGCGAAAGTTGGACTCTTAACCGACTAAGCCACCCAGGCGCCCCTAAAAGTATCCTAGTTCTGATGCAGGGGTCAGGAGAACAGTTTTACTGGCTTTACTTGCTGTGTGGAAACAGCAAGTTAATTCATTCATTCATTCATTCATTCATTCATTCAGTAAATCTTCTCTAAAGAGTTTGTAGTAAGGACCAGCAGGAAACAAGTTGAACACTATCCCTTGGGGCGCCTGGGTGGCTCAGTCGGTTAAGCCTCTGACTTTGGCTCAGGTCATGATCTCACGGTTCGTGGGTTCAACCCCCGCATCGGGCTCTGTGCTGACAGCCAGCTCAGAGCCTGGAGCCTGTTTCGGATTCTGTGTCTCCCTCTCTCTCTGACCCTCCCTTGCTCACACTGTCTCTCTCTCTCTCTCTCTCAGAAATAAATAAAACATTTTAAAAAATGTTTTTAAAAAGATGAACACTATTTCTCACAAAGTAGATGGTCCAAGACTCTTTCTAGAGGTCAAGGAACTTGACCAGGGAGACACTGCTGTTTGGAATCACAGACTTACCTGGCCTAGAGCGTGGGTGGCTTCTGTACCAGCAGGGATCGGTTGCTCCTATTACCAGAAGCTCAGTTCCCAGCAGCATTGAGCTCCTGGGTGTGTGCCAAGCCAATATGAGAGGTCTTAGTGCTGATTTTAATTAATACTGGGTAATTACCAGGTGGAGCTTAACCATCCTAAATGCCTTTGAGGTTCCCAAGCCGATAGCTAGTCACTTTCTCGCTAGGCCCAGCAAGAAGAGGCAGGACTCTGTCCTATGCCCACTGGCCTTTTGTCAGCACTGTGACCCAGGACAGTCACCTTTTTCTATTCCCTTCCAATCTGGTGTAGGTGAAGGGGGCAACTTGGGAAATAGCCTAGCCTCTCCAATTCACCTATGCCCCCTCCTTAGTAGGGGCAAAGGATAACACCATCAATGTGAGTCCAGGGTGGAGTGTGGGAAAAGAGGCATGCAGGCCTAGTTCTGGAAATCCTGGTGGGAATGCTCGAGAGGAGGAACAGACACAGAGGTTGTTCCTGCTCTGGGCCTTATTCCAGTTTCTTGGGGCATATGTTTGGCTTAGTGACTCTTCAGGCTTATTTCTCTGCTGTGGGTCCCAAATTACTATATCACTGAAACTCCTGCTATCTACAAGACCTTCCACGTTTGACATTTCACAGACCTCCTGCCAGACTTCTGAGGATCCTATGGTCATGCCACCATTCCACCCAGTGGCCAGGGTTGTCCTAACTTTTTACCAGGCTCCGAGTCAGCTTGAACTGCACCCCCTGAAGTGGGCCCTCTTGCTCTCCACCACAACTGGAACCACACTGTGGTTTTAATTTATGTGCCTGCGTCTAGCTATCTGGCTGTAGGATATGTCCCAGGAGCCTACCAGGTGTCAGCAAACACGAGTCTCCGAAACAGCACATGAAAGGTCTATGGGACTAGGTGGAAGTCACTGACGACTCCCTTTGGCGGGCAGACCGCTCATTCCCGCGCCTCATCCTCGACCTCGGACTGCTTAGTGCCAGCGGGCCGCCCAGCAGCGCACGCGCACTGAGGGCCTACGGGCGGCGGGGACGCGCACGCCCGCGGCCGCGTGCGTCACAACCCGGGCTCCGGCCCCGCCCGTCCCGCCTGCCCGCTCGTGGGTCCCCGCGGCAGCGGCGGCTACCCACTGACAGCGGCGGCGGCGCCAGGCCAGCCGTAGTAGCGTAGGGTCGTGCGGCTCAGAGACGCACACCCGGCCGAAGGGCGGCGCGGCGCGAAGAAGGCCGGAGCCGGGTCGCTCGGGAGGAGACCTCGCGGGCGCCAGGCGAGAGGCCGGCGTGAAGGAGCGTGGAGCCAGTGGCTGCCGGCGGCCCGGACCCGCCTGTCCTCGCGGCCGCCGCCGGCATGAGCCACATCCAGATCCCGCCGGGGCTCACAGAGCTGCTGCAGGGCTACACCGTGGAGGTGCTGCGGCAGCAGCCGCCCGACCTCGTTGACTTCGCGGTGAACTACTTCACCCGCCTGCGCGAGGCCCGCTTGCAAGCCGCCAGCCCGCTCGCTGCCCCTCCTTCCGGCTCCCAAGCTCTGGAGCCCGGCCTTGGCCTGGTCACCGACGCGAAGGCGGAGAGCGAGTCGGAGGACGACGAGGACTTGGATGGTAGGCGGCGGGCTGGGCCGACTTTCGCGTTGGGGGGACGGAAGGGGGCGGTGCAGGGGTCTCCAGCGGTCTAGAGGGGCCGCGGGCGCCGAGCACGCTGGGCCGGGCCCTCGGAGCTCTCCAGCGGAGTTTGCCCGGGTTTCCCGAGCCGCGGGCGTGTGCCCCGCGTGCGCCACTTCCCAGCTGCGTTCCGCGGTCCCCTGATCCCCGAGCGCACCGAGTGAGTTGTCAGATTCAGCCTGGGAGCAAATGTGCGCGCCTTCGGCCCGCGTGGTGGCGCGGAGCCCACGTCGGCCTCGCCTCTGCTGGGGGACACTTAGCCCGGTTTCGTGGCGAAGACAAGGACGCTCACATCGACCGACTCACTCGTGTTTAATGACCGGGATGGTAACTTTGTTTGGAAATCACTCGTTTTGTGAGAAGTTATGGTGAAAACTTTTAAGCATAGATAAAAGTAGACAGAGAAAAGGTGAAATGAACCCCTACATGCCACTGTCCACATTCAACAGTTTAAATATCTGTCATAAATGTATCTTCTCTACTTTTTTTTTTCTTTGCTGAAATATTTTCAAGCAAATGCCAGTCGGGTCATTTCACCTCTGCATAATTGGACATGCATTTCTTAAAATATTTATTAAAATATATGTAAATATATTTAAACTTGACTAAAACAAATGGATCAAATTTGGTGAGGGTAAATGATAATTATCTTGTTTAGCATATAGGGTGCAGGAAAAAAGAACACTTTCTATATCAGGTTTAAGCAAGGTTGTCAAAAAGCAATTCCATTTTCCTTGGTTGCTTTAACCTAGGCTTGGTCAATTTAACAATAGAACGATCCTGCTTTTGAACCGCCAAAATTTAACGAAATGATGAAAACAGAGACCAAGTTAGAGACTTTAGTGTTATTAAAGCATACTGGAAAAAAAAACAAACTAGTTCTGAGTTGAAGCCGCATTCAGGTCATGCCAACAACAAGGAGTTAATTATCGGTCATTGCTGTTGGAGGTTGTAAGCTTCGATGTTGACAACTTCCCATAGCTTATTCACCATTAAGAGTAGAAATGGTTCCTCTGTGTTTCTTTGACTTATTGCACATTAAATTATGAGATTTTTTTGCTTTTTAAGTCTTGAAATCAAATTGTTATTTTCCAGATCTCTTCCAAAGGTTTGCTTTGTGGTCTAAGAGAAGTGGTCAGACCTGTTTGATTTCAGATTCACTTTAAAATGGGGACAGTGACAGTGATCTTCCAGGGATAAATAAAACTCTTTAAAAGTTTTATTTCAGGAGTGTCTGCTTTGTTTGTTTCACTGACATATCTATAAATCACAGAGCTGTAACCTGTTTTTGTGAAATTTTTATGTATACACATTAGTACTTTAGCAGTTAGTCCCAGATGAGTAAAACAGTTTACAAGTTTTGTGTTATCTTTGTCATCTTTGATATCTTTTTAAAAATTGAGTTGTCTTACATCTTTGTAACCTTATGCTTTATTTCACTAGCATGTATATATTTGTTGTTTATAGCTCTAAAGTGGCTGTGCTACGTATAATTATAGAAGTCAACACAAGGTGAACTTTTATTTACAGATAATAGACTAAAAATACATTGCACACAATGAGATACCACTTCACACCCATGAGGATGGGTATTATGAGAAAACAAAAACAAAAATAGCAAGTGTTGATGAGAATGTAGAGAAATGGGAGCCCTTGTTCATTACTGGTGGGAATGTAAAATGGTCTGGGTGTTGTGGAAAACAATTTGGTGGTTCCTCAAAAAGTTAAACATAGAATTATCATATGATTGAGCAATTTCACTGCTATGTATATATCCCAGAGAATTGAAAGCAGGGAGCCAAACATATAGTTATGTGCAGAATTATTCACAATAGCTGAAACAACCCCTGTCCCATCGGAAGATGAATGGATAAATAAATTGTGGTGTGTATATATATATATATACATATACGTATATATATACAGTGAAATACTATTCATCCTTTAATAATGAAATTCTGATACATGCTACAACATGGATGAACCTTGGAAACATTATGCTAGTGCAATATGCCAGACACAAAAGACAAGTATTTTATAATTCCGCTTATATGAGGTACCTAGAATAGGTAAATTTACAGAGACAGAAAGTAGAATACAGGTTAACTGGCAGCTGGGGGTTGCTGATAATCGGGTGTTATTGTTTAATGAGTGTTGAGTTTCTTTTCAGGATGATAAAGTTCTGAAATTGGATAGGGGTGATGGTTGCACAACACTGTGAATGTACTTAATGCCATGGTTGTACATTTAAATATGTAAAATGGTAAGTTTTATGCTATGTACTTTTTTCCACAATTTTTTAATGTTTATTTATTTTGAGAGAGAGAGAGCGAGCAGGAGAGGGGCAGAGAGAGAGGGAGAGAGAGAATCTTAAGTAGGCTCCGCACTATCAGTGCAGAGCCCGATTTGGGGCTCTGTCTCACAAACTGTGAGGTCATGACTTGAGCCAAAATCAAGAGCCAGCCACTTAACCAACTGAGCCACCCAGGTGCCCCTACCACAATTTTTAAAAACATAAGAAGAGAACTAACATATTCAGTGATTAGGAACATTAGGGTAATAAGCCTATAACACTTAAAATAAGAACTAGGATATATAGTGTAAAATATGTATATAGCAATGAGATTTTGTTTAGTATGGCTAACCATCAATTCAGTTTTTAATATTATATGCTATTTGAAAACTCAGAGTTATTAGCTATTATTGGTTTGTTGTAATAGCAGTTTTTATATCAAATAGCACACTTAAGTATGAAGTATTATAATGAGTATTTAACTCTTGGAAAAGCCCGAAGAGTTCAGATTTATTTAAAAAAATTTTTTTAAGTTTAGGGGTGCCTGGTGGCTCTGTCAGTTAAGCGTCCGACTTCGGCTCAGGTCATGATCCCTCCGTTCGTGGGTTCGAGTCCTGCGTTGGGCTCTGTGCTGACAGTTCAGAGCCTGGAGCCTGCTTCAGATTCTGTGTCTCCCTCTCTCTCTGCCCCTCCCCTGCTCACACACTCTCTCTCTCTTTCTCAGTAATAAATAAACATAAAATTTTTTTTTAATTTTTTATGTTTTATTTATTTCTGAGAGAGAGAGAGGTAGAGAGACAGCATGAGTGGGGGAGGGGCAGAGAGAGAAGGAGAGAAAATCCCAGGCAGGCTCCAGCACTACCAGTGCAGAACCCTATGTGGGGCTTGAACTCACGAAACTGCAAGATCATGACCTGAGCAGAAACCAAGAGTTGGATGTTTAATGGACTCAGCCTGCCAGGCACCCCAAGAGTTTAGATGTATTAATGTTAGTGTAACTATAACCTCATGAGGACAATAATTGGTATTCAGACTTGATTTATTTCTATAATTATTATAAAATACCTGTGGGTCTCCCAGCATGTACATACACACACACAAGTATTATGTATGTAGTATATTTATATGTTACTATAGCATACATATTTGGTAATAGCTTTGCGGAATATAATTCACATACTATATAATTGACCTGTTTAAAGTGTGTAATTCAGTAGTTTTATTATATTCACAGATATGTGCAACAATCCCCACAGTCAGTTTTAGAACAGTTTTTGTCATCCCAAAAAGAACCCCATACACTTTAGCCACCAACTGCCAACACCTCCAGTCTCCTCTAATCTGCATTCTGTCTCTATAGATTGGCCTATCCTGGACATTTCATATAAATGGAATAATGCAGTATATGGTCCTTTGCTCCTGGCTTCTTTTACATGCCATAGTTTTTTTTTTAAATTAATTAATTAATTTGTAATAGTTCATTGTCAAGTTGGTTTCCATACAACATCCAGTGCTCTTTCCTACAAGTGCCCTCCTCCATGCCTATCACCACCCCCTACCCCCCCACCTGCCCTCAATTTGTTCTCGGCATTCAAGAGTCTCTCGTAGTTTGCCTCCCTCCCTCTCCCTCACTATTTTTCCCCTTCTTCTTCCCCACAGTTCTTCGTTAAGTTCCTTCTAATCCTCCTATACATGCAAACATGGTATCTGTCCTTCTCTGCCTGACTTACTTCACTCAGCATAACACCCTCTAGTTCCATCCATGTTGCTACACATGGCCAGATTTCATTCTTTCTCATTGCATGGCATAATGTTTTTAAAGTTCATCAGTGTTGTAGGATAAAGTAATATGTCACTCCTTTTTATTACTGAATATTATTCTGTTGTATGGATATACCACATTTTTTTAATCCAACCGTTGATAGGCATTTAGGTTGTTTTCACTTTTTAGCTGTTAGGAATAATGTTGTTATGAATATTTCACATGTACAAGTTTTCATGTGGATATGTGTTTTTCTCTTTGTTATGTATACCTTGGAGTAGAATTGTTTGGTCATGTGTTAACTCTTTGTTTAAACTTTTGAGGATCTGCCAGATTGTTTTCCAAAGTGGCTGCACCATTTTACATTCTAACCAGCAGTGTATTCAGGGTTCTAATTCCTTCACATCCTTATCAACACTTACAATCTTATTTTTAATAGCCATCCTCATGGGTGAGATATAGTAGCTCATTGTAGTTTTGTTTTGCAGTTCCTTAAATGATGTTGAACATCTTTTCAAGTGGTTCCTGGTCTTTTATGTTTCTTTCTTTCTTTTTTTTTTTTTTTTTGAGAACTGTCTATATTTGATGAAGTCTTTTTTTTTTTTTAATGATTTATTTCTGAGAGAGAGAGACAGCGTGAACTGGGGAGGGTCAGAGAGAGAGGGAGACACAGAATCCAAAACAGGCTCCAGGCTCTGAGCTAGCTGTCAGCACAGAGCCTGACACAGGGCTTGAACTCACAAACCATGAGATCATGACCAGAGCCGAAGTCAGACGCTTAACCAACTGAGCCACCCAGGTGCCCCTGGAAGATGAAGTCTTAATGTATCATTTTCTTTTGTTATTTGTGATTTAGGTGTCATATTTAAGAAACCATGGCCAAAA